AGGTATGTTGGCTTTTACCTAAGGACTTTCTACAGGTATTGGATAATTTTTTGATTGTCTTTATTTCCACTGATAGGATTTATTATATTTACTTATGTTGAGCCATCCCTACATCTCCAGGATAAACCCAATTTGGTAGTAGTGGGTGATCTTTTTGGTATATTAAACCTCATTTGTAAGTATTTTAGCATCTATGATTATCACAGCTATTGGTCTGCAGTGTTCTTATTTGATATGTCTTTATCTGGTTTGGTATTTGACTTTTTAGATGTTTGAAATTCTTCCTTCTGTTTCTCCCCCTACCCCTGCACATACTCTCCTTTTTGTTCATTTTAAAAAACAAATCCAGAAGGATTTGTTGTAATTCCTCTTTGAATATCCAGTTCAATTTTATATGAATCCATATAGACCTGGCTTGTTTTAGTCAGAAAACTAATCGTTTCAATCTCTTCTTCATTATTAGCCTATTTATACTGCTGTTTTATTCTGGATTCAACTTGGTTTATATGAATCTAGAAACTCTTTAATTTTAGATATCTAATTTAGGAGACTTTAGGCATTAAAGTATCCTCTTATAATGCTTATACTGTTGTGATTTTCTTTGCTGTCTATTGTAACATCTCTCTACTCAGTGAGTTTGTTAATTTCCCCCTCCCCATTAACTGTGCTAACAGTCTCTCTTGCTAAGAAGAACCAGGTCTTAAGAGCCCTTGAACATTTGTCTTGCAATTTTCTGTCCTGTTCTATTGTGAGCCTATACTGTAATTACTGATCTGCCTGAACTTATATGTATTTGAACTGCTTATTTTTTTTTTCAGTTACTGTGAAGACTACTATAAATAGTGTTCTCAATGTTGTTTGATACATTTCCATTAAGTATCCTCTCAGGAAAATAATTCGCAAGACACTGAATATGGTATTCAATTTTTTCTCCCAGGCAATGAAAGATTCAACACTATTATTATTTTTTAAATACTCCCATGACCCTGTTGTGGTTAGGGCATTAAATGAACCCACAAATGTCTTGTAATGAAGGGTTGGTATTGAATATAGCAATAGTCTGAGGTGAGGCCTTCAGGTGATGGGAGTAAGCAACACTCTGAGACTCTGCATTTAAAAAAAAAAAAAAAAGTTAAAACTAAACCCTGTCCTTTTAGAACACTTTTACAAGTAGACTTAGAAACCTAAATCTAAATTTGGTTTTGTATCTTTCTACATAATAGTTTTGCTGGATAACTAAGGTTTTCTGTCATGCCAAGTACCATGTAATGTTCTACTACATCATTAGTGAGTGAAGTATGCCTCAAATAGCTCATCCTCAGAATGAAAAAGTGGTTAAAAAGGCAGGATGTTACTCTTTCCAAAAGTATAACATGGTGCTAGACATTTACTATTAAGCAAATTTTATAAAAAAAAAAAAAAACAGCCTGATTTTATACTACAGACCCATAAATTGCCCAGTGCTGCTTCTGAACTCAATTACTGGGATCCACTTGAAAACATTTTATTTTCCTTTCAAAGGATTTGACTAAATCTCTGCAAAAGTTTCCACTAAATATCAAACTGTTTCTGTGTACAGCATGAGTGAAAAGGTTGAATTTAAATGGTTAGCATACAGGTATATAGACAACTCATTTTTTTTTTCTGGTCTATACAGTCAATCACTAGATTCCACTCCTTTAATTCTGAAATGATTTTTTTCCTAATGGACTTACATTAATAAATTCTCAAATAAATAAATAATTAGGAATATGGTTCTACAAAGAATCATTGTGGCTCACCTTAAACATTCTCAAATGATAATCAAGCTAAATAAACCAGTTTAAAGCAAGCTTTAGGCAGAATCAAGGTTAAGGAAACAAAAAATTGGGTACAATCAAGAGAAGGCTATGAAGTACTATCCAGAGAAATGATTTTAATCATCTACTACATTTGATCAGTTGTTGAAATGTACATACCTGGCAAGAGGTGTGAAATAGGCTTTCAAGTCTAAAGTTCAAGGGACAGATGGCAAACCACAATCCTCTAAAATATATTTCAATCATTCTTGAGCAGTAAGTGAGACTGAGAGCTTTTTAAAAAATCTTTATTTTTTTTTTCTACCGGAATAAGACTTCACTGTGGCCACTTAACTAGTGCATGCCTGCCATTGTTCCCCACTCGCTGAAGGTAAATGGCAGTTATTTTCATGGAGTTAACAAGGGCAGGAACCAGTGGAGGCTAGGGATGGGTCAGGTGTGTAAGAATGTGAATGAGTGAATAATTCTGTTATTGTATGTGGAAGATCCAGGGTCTTACTTAAGTCAATGTTGAACAGCCCCAGGGATTCCGAATACATGCTAAACTATACCTGTGCTCTAAAACTATGTACATTCTCTGTTTCCGAGTTAGTCACTCATCCCAAACTACTCTTTCTCTATTCTTTGGTTTTGGGACCAGTTCCTCTACTGGTTTAGCATTGATATAATAGCAGAAAAGCAGAAATGGACACCCTTTAAGTCTTCCAAAGTTTGAAATGTCTTGTTATTTGCACCAGCCCTATAAGTAGTTTACTGAGAAACAGAAGTGCTCTATGTATAAACAGATGGCATGACTACTCCATGGTATGGGAAGATTTTATTGTAGACCTAAGAGAATAGCCAGGGGCAACTGGAAGTGTTTAGAGCAAAGAGAAAAAGTAGACTTAACATGGCAGGCAGACTGGATATGGCCAGGGCTATCTGTGAGAGGGGAGAATAACAAGGGATACAAAATAAAGAAAGCACAGCGAGAATAACAATGGTTACAAAAGAGTAGCTGGCCTGAGGAAAGGGCAAGCAGATGGGCATCGGGCTCAGAAATGTATAACTGAGTGGGGACTGAAGAAGCCTGGAGGCAAGGGACCTTTGTAAGACTAGACAGGGGGCACAGGTATATGTTTGCATGAGAACCACAAGTTCCTTTTCCCAGAGGTCAGGGAAATAAATGCTCCTTTCTAGCAAATTGGAACACCCTTCACAAGTTCCTGAAGGAATGGTACCTTTTATCTAACCAGAAATCCTCCTCCAGTCCAAGGTGGAGTTCATTTTTGGTTAGACTGTTGAAGTTTGGGAAATTGGAGTGTCCTTTCGAGCGGACACTATCAGAGCTCAGAAACTAACATACATGCATAATATATAAATGAGGCTAAACTGGGGCATTACGGAAATATACAAAAACAATGGAAAAGTGCATTACATAAATGCCTGAAATAAACTGTGAATAACGGGGACGCATATTTCTATGGGGTACTAAGAATATGAAAATATTAGTATTCTGGTCCTTCAAGTCTACCTTAGGGTTTTCACTAGTATATTTCAATGCAAAAAGCTGGATTCTATACCTAATCTGAACTTTTTTATGGGTTTATATTAAGTGGAAGCACAACCATATAAAGATGCGGGCCCTACAGAAAAGAGCACGTATTTTTGCTTAATGTGTCACTTGCAATCTAAATAGTCCTAATACACAGGTAAATCCATAACCTAGTATTATGACTTTCCACAGTTAGTGTGTTACAAATGCAGACTCTATGCCTGTACAAGCTTACATAAGGTGACAGATCACCGTCTTAGTGCGTCAGAGAACGTTACAGAGCAGACACACTTATTTTCATCTACCTTTGAGCCTTGCAAAATGCGTACTAAATGTTGGCTAAATCACGTCAGCTCACTGAGCTCTGCCCTTTAAAGGGACAGCGGACCTCCGTGCCGCCGTCCCTAGCAGTTACATAACTGTCTGCAGCCAACCTTCCTCAGGAAGCTGACAGGAAGAGGTGGAGCCCACGCCGCCCCGCGCCACCAGGGAGGAGGGAGCGGCGGCGGCTAGCGGTGGAGGCGAGAGCGGTGGCCGCTTCCTCCCGGCCACGGCCCGGCTCAGGAGTGCGCGGAGCATCGGAAACCCTCGGTCTGGTGGGACAACGCCATGGGCCCCGCCGACGCACCGTCCGCCCTGGCGCTCAGGGCTGTGGGCCCTGCGGCCGCCACCCCCTACGGTGTCTTCTGCAAGGGGCTCTCCCGCACCCTGCTCGCCTTCTTCGAGCTGGCCTGGCAGCTGCGCATGAACTTCCCGTACTTCTACATCGCGGGCTCCGTGATCCTCAACATCCGCTTGCAGGTACACATTTAGAGCCGTGTCTCCGTTGCCCGCCACCCGGGACCGCAAGATGGCCGCTTCCCAGGCGGCCCCGCGGCCCCTTCAAGATGCGCGAGAAGGTGCAATCTCGCGAGAGCAGGCTCGCTCACCTGCAGTCCGCTCCCAGCCTCCCCTTCCTGGGCATTGGAGGTGGGGAAGCTAGCTGGGCCGTTAAGAGCAGAGATGTTGTTCCAGCAGCAGAGGAGCTATCCAAGGAACTACGCATCAGTAAACTCTGGCAAGTCTTGGGATATGACAGAGGGCCCAGGATGCATTATGAGAAAGGAAGGCTGAGTTTTTCAAGAACACAGATTTACATCAAACTTACGTTCTAAATTAATCTTTTGAGAATTCTGGACTGTGAGCCAGCCATTGAATAAGAGGCCTGTTACATCAAGAATGTGATCTAAAAAGCATGCATCTCTTACCCCCACAAGAGGATATATTGAAACTGGGTCAAAGTCAGACTACAAGAAAGCATACCCCCAAATATATGACAGCAGGATTTTGAAAAAAATTGTGGGAGTATGTGAAGATGCCCCCATCAAAGAGACATTGGTTCCAAAGGAAAGAAAGTCTAATTGCCTCACAGGAATTGACTATTCCCTAGTAGTAATGCAAATGGACCAAATATGGCTTTCTTCTTTAAAGAGAATACTTAATTTTAGTTGCAGAGTAAAATGCAGATGTTACAAACCTTGTTGCGAAAATTCAGTTGACAAGTGGAAGGACAAGAAAGTAAATGGAATGGTGATTTCCTTGTGGAGTGGGAAGGTAAAACATGTATGTTTGTGAACAAAAAAAAAGGAGATTTTGTTGATACTGGACAGCCATGTTTCTGACTGCCCAATGGAGGCAGTAACCACATGACCTAAATAATAAATGTCCAAAGATGGAAGGTTCTCAGTGTCTGAAAAGGAGCAAATATCTGGTGTATGTGAATGGATGCTAGAGATTTTTCGAAGTCTGGGGTGAATTAGTAATTGTATTTTGTTTTGAAATTAAAAGTAATTAAAAATTTCAAGAAAAATAAAATAAGCAAAAAGTATGCTGCCATACCTCATGTGAATAGTACTGTACCTGTAATATAAGTTGCTATTTAACAAGAAATAGTTATGTAACATTGGGAGGCTGAAAGCTGAAAAAGATGTTTGTATAATGATGCAAAGTACATCAAGATCTATTCAAGAGGACAGGAGCTTTGAATAAGTTGTAGACTTATGTAGATTTAAGTTGTGGACTTATCATCCATGAGGCTCTAAGTTTGATACCCAGTGCTTCAAAAATGATAATAAAATAAAGGTCAAATATATAAAAGGTAACATAAACTATGATTAGGGAAATTAATGCAGAAACATTTAAGAACTAAAAGTGGTTATTTCTAGAGAAAATAGATGGGTATATGTAGAGGAAAAAGCAAGGCTTTGTCATTTTTTGTTACTAATCTAACATGTGATTTAAATCGTGTATGATTTTCTTCCATTAAAATCTAATTAAAATATTTTTTTAAAGCTCTCTAGGTAATTAAGTCTACCAGCAGACAAATGACCAAAAGTCTTGTTGGATTGAAATCTAAATCATACACTCAGCTGTTACTGCTTGATAATATTAATATATATCAATATAGAAGTATTCTACCTACTATAACTTAGAAATGATTTTCATTTCTACTTGTGATGTTTCTTACATATAAATGTAATTGTATCCTTTCTAAACTCATGTAAGGTGAATATATACCGTGATAGGCTTGACATGGACTTGTCTGTTATTTTGTCCCTGTGAGCACATATTAAGACAGTGCATGCTATTGTAAAACCCCCTCTGCTGGCTTTGTTTGAAAATTGCAATTTCCAAGCTTTTCTCAGAAAAATTTCCTGACACAGTAGCACCCAGATGTTATTCCAGTACTCTGGAAGTTGAATTGGAACTATCAAATGTTGAAGGACAGCCTGAACCATATGATAAAAACACTGTCTCAAAGAAACAAAAACAAAAGAATCCAGTAGGTAAGAATAAAAATTTTAGAAGGAAATAGTAAGTGTCTCCTCATTAGTTTAATTCTGAAAAAAGCCTGTGAACCTGAATGTCTCACTTTTGTTTTTGTTGTATTTTGTTTGCCCAGCACATCCTCCTCTCACCCCCACTCAAGAGGGTTCTCTGGAATTGCCTGTGTATTCCAGGCTAGCCCAAAACTCATGATCCCCTGCCATCACCTTTTGATTACTGGGTTTACTGAGCTGTGCCAACAAAAGGCTTCATACTTGCCGGGTGACATCTTAAATATCACAGAAGTTCCAGAGCTTTTTGTTTAAGCTTCCCATTGCTAAAATTTATAGCTAAATATGTGCTCTGAAGGAAAAAAATAGTCAATGTTTTATTAACAAAGAAATATACCTGATGTTTTAAAGTATCAGAAAATTCCAATCGTAATAGGGCAGAAAGAGTGACCATAGAGAGAAAGAGCTGGAAACTTACTTTAGTCAGTAAAGGTCATTCTCTAAAAGCCTGAAGACTCAAGTTTGATCCCCAGAGCCTAGAAAGTCAAGCTTAGTAGCATGATTGCAACCTCAGTGCTAAGGAGAGTCAGAGACAGATCCCTGGAGTTCTCTGGCCAGCCACCCTAGCCTACTTGGCAGAGTTTCAGAACATTGAAAGACACTGTTTTCAACAATAATATGGACAATGCCTGAGGACTTATATTCAGTGTTGAATCTCAAGCTGCCTCCTACATTATCTCCCAATATGATACCCTGATTTAATTCTATATCTTTTTCATCTACTGAGTCCAATCATCCAGATTCCTAAAGAAAAGGGCAATAGCCATATGCTTATAGCTCCTCAGCTCAGGTTGGGCCCTCAGGACCCCCTCCTTATTCCATGATGGAGACATTGAACTGGCTTGATCTGGTACTGGTCTAGTGTACTTAACCACAGATTCTGTGAGCTCTTGTGTGGAACAGCCATAGCATATGTATCAAGTTTACATTTCATAACACCCTCATCCTGTCTTTTAAATTATCTTTTATGGTAAGATCTTAAACTTATATATCAAGCTGGGGTACAGAGAATAACAATGATATTCTTCTTTTCATTAATATCTATCCTGTATCATAAAAGTTAACTCACTATAAAATAGATTGTATTATTTTATGGTTATATTATAATCCACCTCTATCTTGACTGCTGTATTAACTAGAGAGCTTTAGGAAAGACACTGGGCATTGTGTTAAATACCTGTAATGCTAGTACTCAAGAGACTGAGTCAGGAGAGTTATAAGTTTGAACCCAGACAAGGTGGATGTAGGGAATACAGTGCCATCCTGGGCCCCATGAGAACCCATCTCCATATATATTTCCTGTTAGTGGCCCCAAACATTTTTTACTTCAGCAGTGTGGGATACACAGCATTCGGAGAGTTTATTATGTGTTCCTCACAGCACTTGCCAGCCTTGAATGGAAAGAAGTCATCACTTATAGTCCCAGGATTTGGAAGAGGCTAGATAATCCTAGGTTTATGGTATGGAAATCAAGAGACCTAGAAGTTACTGATGCTTTAGAAATACTCTGAAGGTAGTATAATGGCCCCCAGAGAAAGAAGCAGCTATGGTAGGCAAGGTTTAAAAGTGACCAAATCAAAAATAAATGTTTAAGTAAGTAAACAAGTCCAATGATACAGAAGAACATTTAAGATCATAGTTACATTAAAGAGGAAACACTATAAAGAAAGCATGGAGAAGTACAAAATCACATCTATCATATACTATGAGTAAATACCCAAAATAATATTTACATTTTTAAAAGTCTGAATAACTACCGATATTATTTATAATCCTATGTTCAACTACCTGTTACTTTTTTTAAAAAACAAAATCAAATGGATGAACTATATATGATGGGGAAGTTGTTATTGTATATCTAAATGTTATGCATATTATTATAGACTGTCTACACGGTTAACATGGTTAATGTTTATGCTATGGCTGAAGTGCAAAATAGTCTAACCATGTAATGACAGAAAACTTGTCTAGAGAGATGGCTCAGCTGTGAAGAGCACTTGCTACTTTTGCAGAGGACCCAGGTTCTAATCTCAGCAGCACATAGTATCTCACAAGTATCCATAGCCCCAGGGACATCTCATAACCTTTTTTTGACCTTCACAGGCACCAGGTGTGCATACACACACTTGCAGACAAATAATCATACACATAAAAATAAAATTTAAAAGTCAGAAAACAGATGATCATTGATTTCATGATGTGCTAAGCTTAAGCATAGTATCGAACATCGAGGAATAATGAGAAAGCACTTGAGAAATCCACGCTGCTCTAATCCATATGAAATAGGAAGTATAGAATGAGTAACTGAGAACTACTGCATCTCTGGATGATCTCATTACCTCTTCTCAGTAACCCATGTCATTATTCTATTGGAATCGCACAGCCTTTTAAATCGTTCCTATTCACATGTGTGTGTACATGGGATGTGTGAGAAATTCCAGTGAAATGATTCCTTGAACTTCATGTTTTTCTTTCTTCTGTCTCCGCAGCCATCTCCATACACATCTTTGAGACACACACACACACACACACACACACACACAGGTGATCTCAGTGGCCAATGACAGTCAATAGAAGTGTTCCTGACTCATGACAATGTCATGTCCCATTCATGAGTAAGGAATGATGCCCCCATCTCGTCCTTGCTCTTAGATATTGACCTTAGCAGCCTTTCTTTTGACAGACACTATATTAAAGTAGTGGGCCTTTTGGAACATTTTTAGTCATAAGAGATCTTAAATGGGGGTGAATCCTAACCCAAGGAGTAATGCCAGAGACCAAAACAACAATGTGAAGTGTCAGACTCATCTGTGTTTGGAGGATATTTACCCAGCTTAAGCACTGCCATTTACAAAGACTCTTTTTGTGTGTGTGCTTCATTGTAGATTTTTGATCACTTTGAATACCCCTTCATTTTTAAAATAGATTTTTCTCACAATTCTCAATGGATGGGACTGTTGGTATTAATGTTGGCTGTGGGGCTCAGCTTGATATCAGTTGATGTCTGAAAAACTATCATAATTGTGAGTAGGACCATTTCCTGGACAGGGAACTCATGGACTGTGTGCATGGAGAAAGGGAGCTAAACAGCAATTAAATTCAGTCCTTTTATCTCAGGTGTGGCTCTGATGTTACCACCTGCTCAAACTCCTGCCACTGTGTTTTTCCTGCCATGATGGATTATGCCTTGGACTGTGATCTAAAATACAGCCGGTCTCCTTCAAGTTGTTCCATCAAAATATTTTATCACAGCAGTTCTTTATAGTAAGCTCCAGGTGTAGTGAGCCTAACAGAAGGGCAGGCTCCAGTGGCTGGAAGTAGAGATTAGGGTTATAGTGAGAGTGATTAGGGTTTCTGTAGTCTCATAGAATGTAATGTCTTCATTGTAACAGACATAAAAGCAAACCAAAGAATAACTAGAAAAGCTGTCAAACGAGATTTGGTATATCAGGAGTCAAAAGAATTGCCTGTTTATGTTTTGAAAATGCATCTAACAAAATTTCAGATAATATTTTTCTTTGAAGATCAATCTTAAGGCTCTCAAAAAGATACAGATAGACAGCCTCTTACCTGTTGTCTAAAATGAAAGAATTTGGAAGGGTTTTGAGATGATGTGAACAACTGTTAATGGGGTGTAGTGAGATTCTGCTAGGAGACCCCACCTAAAAAGTAGCACATGGTCCACTCGATACAAATCTGTATAGCACTATTAGAAGTCAGGACAGACACAGGCTTTTAGCTGGTATATGTGTCCAGAAGTACTCAAGAAAGCATACCTGGGTATACCTGGTCCCTTTGGAACTTGGCATCAGAGTGTAGACAGTTTCATCAACAGACTCAGAGTGTTCTTCTGTCAATCGCTTTCCTCTGGATGGACAGAAGAAATCATCACAAACATTTATTTGGCAGGTAAGAGGTTAGTAGTGAAAAAGAAGCAGTAATGACTTCTCTCTTTCCACAACATTTGGTCAACCATTCTAGGTTGCATGCACTGGCCTGGGGATGCATGTGTTGGGAGAGGGTTGGATGCTGCTGAGTCCTATGGGAAAGGGTCAGATGGAGAGAGTGGAGATTCGGGACTTCAGCTCACTAGCCAATCAAACACACAGTTTAGAAACCATTCATTGGAATGACTTAGCCTATGGCCCAGGCTTCCTTTACTGGTATTTTGCCATTCTGTCAAGAATAAGGCCCTGCTGCTTATAATTATCTCTCTTAAAACTTGCTTCCTAAGTGGAATTACTCCTAGATAGATGTTAACTCATTTACCCCAACAGCCATTTTATTAGAGTCAAAATTGCTCACAAGTTTACTTAATTAGCTTAAGTTAGTTACAAAATTTTAATAACACTGAACACTAAGTCTTCAAAATAAAAACAAGGCCAACATGTAAGGCTAATGTGCACTCAGTTTAATTTGTACATTGCAATCTCTGTGGCAAGATAATTAAAATATGATTCCTGAAATGACATATTTTGTTTTATAAAATATGGATTACTACTCGAGATGTATCGCATTATCCTTAAATCCATTGTCAGCTTCGTTCTCATCCATGGTTATATGTAGAACCACGCAGCTCAGACATAGCTGGATGGAGAATGGGAATACTCTACCATTACCTTACCTGTAACTTCAGGGAGCCAAACTAGCAACTCTGCATCTTCCTTTCATTTCAGCTTTTCTTTTTACCTTATAACTATAAAGACTAAACCAATAGAATACCTGGTACACTGTGTGGAACATCTAGTATCTGTACATTATAGTTTCACTATCATAGTAAAAATATTATAGTGAGCCTCCCCAGCTCTTATTTGTAATTTACAATTAGTGTACATACTCTTAAATTACGTTATTATAAATGTATCTACACATTCACAGTCTCTATTAAACTTGCCATTCTATTATAAACTTTGCCCTCTGTGTCTTCCCTTTTTATCTAATATCTATGCCTTGTGCTAAAAACTGTAGTGATAGGATTGCAATGACGTGTGTACACAAATCCAAACACTCATTCTTAGGACATGCTACCTTGTAGCAGCAACATAAATGTTATTCTGTGATTTCTACTTTTATCAATGGCATAAAGTGTCACTATTAAACAACTTAGATTTAATGATTCTTTGTTTTGTTTTGTTTTGTTTTGTTTTTTCGAGACAGGGTTTCTCTGTGTAGCCCTGGCTGTCCTGGAATTCACTCTATAGACCAGGCTGACCTCGAACTCAGAAATCCTCCTGTCTCTGCCTCCCAAGTGCTGGGATTAAAGGTGTGCGCCATCACTGCTCGGCTGGATTTAATGATTCTTCTATACTTAATGAAAAATATTCTTATACTCAGGAAATACTACAGCTGCAAGAAGTAAAAGTCATCATGTATCTAGGTGTATTAAAACTGAGGGTTTATAGAATTAACTAGAACACATTCCCTAATAAGAAATAAAGAAAGGGATAATTATTTATGAAGCTCCTTTGTACTCTGGTAACAAATTTGACTTTTAAAGACAAGGTTACTACAGTGCTGAGGAGATGCCTCAGAGGAGAAAAGGACTGCAGTTCAGATTTCCAAAAGCCACATAAAGGCTAGGCAGTTATCTATGCCGCCTCTAATCCTAGCAAGAGATCCTCCCTTAATAATAGAATAGAGAGTGACTAAGAGAGATAACTAACATCGACTGATAGCCTCTATTTAAACACACACACACACACACACACACACACACTATATATCCATATATCCCACACATTCAAAAAATGATGATACAGGGGATGGGGAGATGATTCAGCAGTTAAAGGAATAAGTGGGCTGGGGAAATTAATCAGTATTTAAAGACACTAGTTCCCAGTACCCACACGGTCTGTAACTGAAGTATCAGGGAATCTGACACTGTCTTTACTCCACAGCACTGCACCCATGTGGTGCACAGATATACATACAGGTTAAACACCCATGCAGATAAAATAAAAATAATTAGAATCTCAAAAAAATTAAATAAGGGTATTAGGATGCCATCACTTTATTCAGGCAAAAAAAGGAAGGCAAATAGCAGGGCCCATTAAAATGACCACTCATGAGGCTGGACAAATGGCCTCTTTACACATATTCACTTTCAAGTGTTCATTGCCATAAGTTATTGGTCTGGTTGGAGGTCTCTTGCTTCTGTGACAACATCAATATCAGATCCTCACCAAACTCCTCCTGTTTATCCTGTTGTTGCCATGTGTCAGGGAGATCTTGAAGCTTTGAATCAGCAGGCCTGGCCCTTTCATGTGCCCCAACAGTTCACCAATGATGTAGATTTTGGGGTAAACCAATTCAAAGCCCTGGATCAGGCCTACATGGTAGCTGAACGACCAGGCCACCAGCTATCCCTTATGCTGACACAATGCTTGCTTACCTGTACCCATTCCTCTAGAGCCAGCCAGCTCAATTTTGCTTCCTAGGTGAGGTTCTGGGCCCACTCACCGAAGTACTACAGTTGGGGAGGACCTGGTCCAGTTTGTCCATTCAGATACTCTCAGAGCTGGCTTCCCCATGCTTTCACCATCAGGTCTGTGCTGCCCAGGCAAGGTGCAAAACCAGCTTTCCCAACAGTGAGGGGCAGGTACAATTTCCCCATGCTCATTCCCAACAGGCAAGTTGCCTGCAATAAGGGTCAGCTCCACTAAGCTACTGGGATGAGGCACAAGGCCCACTCTCTCCCACTGTGAGCTGCCTAGAGCTGAGAAAGATCAAAGGTGGACTCAGATCTCCAGAGCGGTACAAGGCAGCTGCCCAGAGCCACCAACATAGATACCAACCTCTTTCTCTGCATAGCCACAGAACCCATCCATGGCCCTCAGCTGAAGGACTGGCATGTATTTCACCATGGGAGGGTGCAGCTAGCTATTCTCAAAGGCTATTCTTTCTCTTCCCATCTCCAGTTCCAACTCTCCTCATAATGCTCAGACTCTTTCTGTTTCTCTTTCTCTCCCATCCGTTCACCACACACTTGAACATCATAGTGGCTCCTGCTGCCTGTGGGCCGTGTGTCCAGTAGGCCTCTGAGTGACCTTCTCTGTCCATATCCATGTTGTGGCAGCAAGAGCTCCTCTAAGTGTCTATTGCCCAGCTGTGTGCCATGGTGACAGGATGGTCTATGGATGTCTTCCTTCTCCTGTACTGCATAGTGATAGGCAAGCCTCTGTGTGTCTACAACCTGCCCATGCTGTGCTAGGGAGGGCAAGTGACAGGTCTGTTGGCATCTTTTCTCACCCAAGCATGGTAGTTTGCAGGTCTCTGGATGTCTCCTAACTTTACTTTTAACCCCCACTTCCATAAGCATAGCCCTGGGATACTGTGATGGCCTCTTGGTAACTGACATTTTATACCCAAATTTTAGAGGATATTTTTTTCCACAATGCTCCAAGATGATCTCATCTTCTGTTCATATTTGTATTTAATTTCTTATTGGTTACTTCTGTTTTTAACATGATTCATTTTGTTTGTATGTTTTTTCAACTAAAGCTTTCAACTGAGTTATTGAGTTTTTCATTTCTAGCATCATTTAAATTTGTTTTCTTCAAAAATGCAAATTGTATTTTATGTGTTAGATTGACTTCCCTATTCCATTCATCTCTTTGTCTCCTTCTACTTCTATTATCATGTTTTTAATGTATCTTTTAAAAACTTAGTCTAGAAGTAATTCCAGGTCATTTTCAACAAGTGGCATTAGTATGAGATTTGTGTATTTTGAAGCAGATGTTACCATTTGCTACCATTGGTTGTCATTGTTGTTGGTTTTGTTTGTTTTGTTTTTCTTAGTGTTTTTTCAGCACTTATATTTGGACATCTGGAGTTTGTTGGTAAACATTGTTTTCTTTACGGTTAGGATTCAAGTCAAGTGTTTTCCACAGAGCTGTTTACAATGTTGGTTGTCATTGTTGATTTTTCTTTCTCTTTTTTTTTTTGTTAGTGTTTTTTCAGCACTTATATTTCAACATATGGAGTTTGTTGGAAAACATTGTTTTCTTTGGGGTTAGGTTCAAGTCTTCCACAGAACTGTTTACAGTGTTCAGGGGAAGGCAAATTCATAATAGTGTAGGAATCTGGATTTCCTTTGTTTGTCTGGTGCTTAGGGATACAACCTTTATCCCATGTCTTTTTCTTGCCTGCTGCAGTCTGGTGACTTCACTAGCATGGTCAACAATTATGGAACATGTTTCTCCATGAAATATGTATTGATCAT